AAAATTCCTTAATGGCCCCTTGAACCCCTTTGTTCAAATGTGATCAAACAGACGGTCCTGAAGTTCAAAGAGTTGACTGTATTTTCCCAAGATAGAAATGGGTAAAGCATGCTAATGAAAGAAGGGTAATTTGGTTCATGAGGTACATGAACACATTATCGATGTATGAAGGTATTATTTCTTGATTTAGATGGAGAGAAAAGCCAGTTTCCAGCGGAGTCGCCAGAAGCTGTCGACACAATTTTGGTTAAGGAGTTGACTGTTCGTAGCTGTCAGTCACTAGAATCGTACTCTCATTGCCCACATTTAATTAACATATATATATATATATATATATTTAGAAAAATATGAAATCAAACTGACCCCATATTTTTCACAGTTTAAATGAAAGAGCACTATACCTAAAACCATGTATCTATCCCGAAAGATAAACACATGACTTGAGGATGAGGCCCAATCCAATAAACTAAGAAATATATGTCATCCATTTGGTCTGTGAGATCATTTTTATTTGCCAATAAGTTTCCTTTATTTAATACAAAGAATTAAATAGGTTTATAATAAGCTGGGTTCAGACAAGCTTTCTATAAAGGCAAGCCCCTATAGTTAATTACAACTTAGATAACCGAAGCCACCTAAAAAAAATCTTGAAAAAAATTAAGAAATAATATCTTCAAAGATGTCAAAAGGATAGGACTTTTCAACGAAATCGGACAAAAAAGTGTGAAAGGGGAATGACTCAAATTTGGAATATTTTGCTTTAGAGTCTTAAAAAGGAAGAACTAGGGGTTGTCCTAGATCGAGGGGAGAACCTCAATGACGTCCCAAACTATCGTATGGATTGGCTTCAGTTTCAAGGAGAAATTTTTAAGTGTTTCATCCTGCCAATTTTATTTGTTAGGGATTACATTCGTGTGAAACAATCACACAAATAGCTTGGAAGATGTGAGGAAGGTCATAATGAACGACAACCTCAAAATCCTAAGATGAGTTAGGGCTTAGATTGTATAACAGAGTTGTACAAAGGCCTAAAGCTAGGGTGAGGATTTAGGTTACATAAGCAAACAACCTCAAAATCCTATGGCTTATTGTTTAATTCTAACGAAAGAATGGTTTAGTTGATGTAGATAGGTTTTGTTGTTGAAGATGGTTGTGCTGCCCACCATTCTAGCTCCAAGCTCCTCGCCGTGACGAGTTTCAGTTTTCTAATGTGTCAGGTCATGATGTCAAATCAGATGGCCCTATGGTTAAAGTTCTTTAAATGTTATGGGGCATGTTAAAGTTGATTAAATCTTCACAGGTTAGAAACCTACGGTTCCCTTGTTCCGGCACCAATATTTTTTATCAAATTCACTTAGTCCAAATGAAATTACTAAACTCAACTTAATGAGTTCCATACTTTCATTTAGACAATGGGAAGTCTCATTAGGAACCATAGGTTCCCTCCTCCGTGGAATTCCCGATCATCCGATAGATACGTCTTAATTTAGTTGCAACTGTTGTTGTGCGTAATGTCTGTGTCTAAATTTTGAGTTGTCTTATTTTTTGAATATTGTGGCGGTGAATTTTATCTTTATTAATTTTAGTTTTGGTTTTGGTTTTGTGGCTATCCTAGCAGTTTTGGTTTTCATGCAGGTGTGTTGTCGTTGTTTAACATTCAAGTTTTGTATGTATAAATATACAGTGACGAAACTACAACAAAAGATGGTAATGTAAACTGTAAAAGCGTATCTGACGAGTCTTCTCATTCCACCACCTGAAAGGTCTGTACTTGCAAGATATGTAGATAATATTGAAGGAAAGTTTAAATTGCAAGTGTAGATGAAGGTTTAGCTACCAAACCCCAACTTGTGATTTAGTTGAACCTTGAAAGATCCTAGTTGATGATTTTAGGACAAAATACTATAAGTTCAATTAGTCCTTCAAAACATCCAAAAGATTTCAAAGTGCTCGGGATATGACCCTGAACTATTTTGAAGATCTCTTAAATTATTTTGAGTTCTTTTCTGAACCTATCATAATGTTCCAATAATCATCTGAGTTTAGAGTATGGCTACCACATTGCTCGTTGAACCTTAGCAATTTAATTATCCCAAGTTTAGGGAACTCGATTAATCAATTGATATTTCATTTAAGGGTTATGTGAGTGAGTGCCCTAAGGCAAGTTTGAGTTATTTAATATTGTGGGGCCCACAAGTAAAGTTAGACTTAGAGTGTTTAAAGATAATTGATTATCAACCCAATTATCTTCTAAATCAAATCAACTGAGCTTATCATTAAATCAATTGAGCTTAGATATCGAGCCTAGGTCACTACGAAGCCCTTAGGAATCATAATGAGGAATTTGGTGAAGGTTAAGATTTTAGTTTAAGTGACATGTATTTTTATTTATAGATCACATTATCATCAATGTTGGACTTATGGAAAGTAAATTATCATCCATTTAGCTTAAGCCTTTCACTTAAGAAACTTTTGATATCAGTTGACTTCTAAGTCATGAAAACTGGGGGAGATTATTAGTTGTTGATGTTGTGCCAATGTAGTGGGTGAGTTTCTACCTTATAATCCCATTGTATTTCAATCATCCAAACATGTTTATAAGGATCAAAGTTACCCACTTATCCTTGGTTAATCCTAAATTTTGATTAAGGCGCCAAAGCATAAAATGATTATCTTACCCTTGGGGGACTTCACCTCATAACTCTTTAAACACAACTCAAATGACTTTGAGGGTTTAAAGTGTTATATCCATGAGGTTATTAAATTATTCGAGAAGGATATTTGGACCTCTCAAAATTTGATTTATTTTAGATAATTATTTAAATTTAGAAAATAGGATTTTCAAAAATTAATCTATTTAATTATTAAAAATAAAATTTATATTTATCAAAAAATTATTAAAGGTTTCCTAAAGTCAGAGGAACACTTAGACAAAATTTCATGATTTTTTGAATCAAATTTCTATTTTTATTATTTAATTTTAGATCAATTTTCATGATTTATTTAAATAGAAAATAGTGTTTTTAGTTACAAAAATTATTTTTATACTTTTATTAGACTCCTCTAAATTTAAAAAACTCAAGTAAATTAAATTTTATATTTTTGTGATTTTTAATTTATTTAATATAATTATTTTAGTGAGAAAATATGAAAAATTCATTTTTAAGCCTTTAAAATTTATTTTTAACTTAGAAAAAATTAGGAAAAATATCCTAATGAAATCTAAGTGATCAAGGGACATTCCCACTCATTTTGAACCATTTTTTTATATATTTTAAATTTTTAATTATTTTTATTTTTTTAATTAAAAATATATTTTAAAAATTAAATACTTTAAAAAAAAAGGTTTTATTTTTATAAAATGCCTTTGATCACAAGAAACTCAGAAAAATAATTTTCATAACCTTCCTAAGGATATTTAATTTAATATAAGTATTTTTATACAAAAAGCAAGGTTTCCTTAAGATCAATTTTAGCACCTAGACAAAGTCAAAAAATTTTGATAATTTTATAGTGGGTAGAAATGATTTTTATGAACAACATGGAGTTGATTTTGTTAATTTTTTATATTTATTTAATTTACATAAATTAATACAAAGTATTTACATTAACTAAGTATAAAAATCCATAAAATGATTCAAAGCATTACAATATTTTTCCCAGATTTCTCTGACCACTCGAAACCTACTAAATTTGTTCACATAATTTTTCAAGTAATATTTTGATTTATACAATTAAAATAAGCCAAAATGGTCACCTTAGCTATAAAATTAGGGTTAGAAGCATAGAGATGTCTTCTAACCTTAAAAAAATTCGTGAAAAAATTAGAAGACATAGTCTCTATCATGAGGAACAAACCCTCAAAATTTCAAGCCATAGAGAACTAAAATACCATAGAGGATATTTAATTAATTAAAAATTAGGGAGTGAGATAATAATTTATATTTTTAGTCCACATTATTCTCCTTTGTTCACAGGGCAAGAGGGTATTTTTCTTTTATTTTTATGATTTTTCTAGAGAAAATTATGGATTTTTGAAGTTTAGGCATTTAAAATAATTCAAAAATCCCTATTTTTCTACTTTTTCCACGCGGCGCCTACTTATCCTCGTATGCTTTGAAGGCTCCATGCATCGCCCTACCATTTAGCACTGCCAACCATGTAGCCTCCATGCGAACCGCGCTTTATGCATCATGGATCCGTCTGGCTTGATCTCCTGCATTCATTAGATACACACGCGATCAGACGGCTCTCCGTTATCATCCCCAAGTGACCTAACCCGTGAGCCGTTCAAACTAAAACCTTAAGATCTTGCCCTAAACTCAACCAAATTGCATGAGGTTTATTCATAAACCTTCATCTACTCAATACAAACACATTTATATGGTTTATACAGTATGAAATACTGTAAATATGTATGGAGGGTCGAAACAAGCTCGATTTAGGGTTGGAGCTCAATACCTTTATCTGAGAAGGGAAGCCTCAATTAGATGGTTGTGGTAGCTTTGATTGGTCCCAACAAACCTATAGATGAAGTATCAAGGCTTGGTGAATGGTCTAGGTATGAATTTGATCAAGCTCGATTTCAGGTGTTGATCTAGAGCTAGGTTAGAGGCTACTTTAGTGGGGGGCATTTGGGGGGAATCAACTTCTTTCACTATGGGGACAGTTTGTACATAGATAATTGAAGTTTGGTTCATTGTAGAGGTGTGGGGAGTTCTGTCTTGGTTTTGATAGAAATTTGAGCTCAAAATTGAGCTTCCACAGTTGGGATTTGTTCGGAAAAATGGTGGGTTTGAACTGAGGAGGTCTTCGGGAGTCTCTGAGAGCAATTTGATAGAGCTTCCTTAAGCAAATTTCAGCTCTTTTTTCTTGTTCATGAAGGTGAGTTTTAAATAAAAATGGTGAAGGGTGGCTGTCATGGCCAATTGAGGGGTGCAAAATGGTGCTTAGGTTGAGGGTTTTGAAGTGTTAAAGTCAACAGGAATTGGCCAGCTAAGATGGGTGAGTTTGGGTTTAAATTTTGGCTTGGGGCTCTCAATTTTTGTGTTTTTCAGCCTTTAGGTCAGTCGCTAGGGCCAGGGGAGGTCACCAGGAGGTACCAGGCGGTCAGGTGAGCCAATGGGAGGGTTAATTATTATAATTAACCCTCAATGGCAAGTGATGATGGGGAAGATTTTTGGTTAAGGCCGATAAATGAGCTTAAATCCCTTAATTTAGGGATCTAATGGTCCATAGCTCACCATGTCTGGTCCAAGGAGGTTTACCCTAGTCAATAGATTGTATATTTTGGTTGTGGTATCATCAATTTGGTGGCTTTGCCATGGCTAAGTTAATTTTCGTGCATGGGTTCAATTTGGGTCCAAATGGCTAAAAGTTAGGTTTTTGTTAGGCTAAACATGAATTTGATCCCAATTAATTGATCAAAATTGTTTATATGATTATTATGAAAATTTTTTATGAAGTATTAAAATGATTTTGAGTTCAATTGGAAGCTCAATTTGAAGGATTTTGGAAATTTGGTAAATTTGGGCATGTTGGGCTAGGCTTGGGTCTAGGTTGGGCTAAGGTTGGGTGAGGGTCAAATTAATTATTTAAAATGGTCTATATGAATGTCATAAAAATTTTTCAACATAAATCAGGTGCCAATTTTGGGATTAAGGCATTACATTTGGTGGAATTTGGAGACATTGTTAATTTGGGGTAAATTTGGGGATTTTTGGACTTGGGTTGAAATTAAATGAAATTAAGGCTTCAACAAGGCCAATTTATGGTCAATATTGGTGTGTAGGACTATTATGAAGAGTTTAAGATTTAAATTTGGGTAAATTAAGTAGACTATGGGGTTCAATTTGGTGGGGTTAAGTCATATGGCTAAAATTGGGGGTTTGACTTAGATCAAGATTGAGCTAAGAGAATGGGCTAATTAGCCTTAGATTTTGTTTAGATTGGTCATATAAAGGGGGATTAAGAGTTTAGTTTTGAAATTGATCGAAAGTGGGACCAAGTTGATGGACATTTAAGGTGAATTTGGGGTTGATGGACATTTAAGGCAAGTTGATGGACATTTAAGGTGAATTTGGGGAAAATGGGCCCTTAAAGGCAATTTAGGGGTTTTGGTCAAAATGGTTAAATTAGCTAACTTGGGCTCAATTGAAAGGTCAAAATTGGTTTTGGAAACATTTGGAGTGATTTTGGAGGTTTTGGGAAAGTTTGGGGTGCCAAGGATATTTTTGTAATTTTGGTAAATTTGTGGGTATTTTGGTAAATTTGGAATTTTTTGTGGTTTTCGGTAATTGGGCATTTTGAAATGGTTTGAAATGATTTTTGAACCAATTTGGGTATTTTGAGTGAATTGGGAAGTTTTGGCCAAATTTGGGATTTGGGGGGTGTTTAGGTAATTTGGGTAGGTTTGGGGGTAAAAGATCCAATTGGGTATTTTTGGTAAAATTGAGGTGTCAACCACCATGTGTGAGCTATGAACCAATGAGATCCCCATTTGGGTCCTCTATGTATTGATCTTAACTAAACCCTAGCCTAGGGTTAGTGGGTCTAGGGGACCATCTACTTGAGTGTCTCAAAAGCCAAGGGGTCAAAGTCAACAATTTTGAAGTTTTGGATTGTGAGTGAATATAGATGATAGTGAGTGATAGTGAGTGCAAGTGAGTGAACTGGCTCCAAACCAACACCCAAAGTCATCCCTAAGGTCAATCAATCCTATGGAACTCATATTGAGCTCCTTTATACTGACCCCACTTATTAAGTGTTAGACGTTAGGACAAGTATATGAAACTTCAAGTTGAGCAAAGAGGAGTTTAGAGTTTCTAATGATGAGGGTTCCTTTTGTAGTTTTATAAAAATAGTCAACAGGAAAATTTTATGGCTAGACCCTAGGCAACAAAAGAGGGAAAACTAAACCTCAAAAAAAAGTGAGGTCAACAGTAGGAAATTGAACTGAGTGATCCCCCCTCATGTATCTGACCATTGCATCATCATAAGCAGCATCATATTCAAATTTATGACTTATCAAGTCATCAGTGTTAGCATTTCTGGCTTCCATATTTTCCATTCTACTATCCATTCTCAAGATATCTCCTAGTTGGAACATCATCTCCTCCATAAGTTTCTGGATAGTAGGGGTACTAGAAGTACTTGAAGTAGAAGGAATATCCCTGGTCCTACTTCTAGATCTCCATCCAACATGAGATTCATAAGTCTTTATATTGGCAGGCCTATTAGATTTTAAAGGTTTAATCCTCTCATCATCTGCTCTAAAATCAATTCCTGTCAATTCACATAGTGTAAAGATCAAGTCCAGGCCGGGTTGAGCTAACCCACCAATGGTCTCTCCCAAAGCAATAGATCGAGTGCTCCTATAAATAATAGAACCTACATCTATCCTCACCACCTGCTGGATACAGAAATTCAAGATGGCTCTATTCTTTTTTGCCTCACTACAATGATTTGTTAGTATCATTCTTCGTTCTTTTAGAAATAAAATAGAGTCAAGCCTTAGATACTACATTTAACATAGAAAGATGAAAGTTTACCTTAACACCATTCTTCACCTTCCAGGTTCGTCTTCCATCAGTAAGAAAATAAATAACCTCATTCAAGGCCTCATTTGTAGCAGAAAACAATTTGTACTAGTAGTTATACACATCTTCTAACTGATAAAATTGATTAATCTTTCTTGGAGTAAACTCTACCATTTTTCCACGAACTAACACATAGTCTTCAGATGTCTCCTTGAAATTGGCATAGAACTCCATCACTACACTAATAATCTTCTAGGCAGTAAAGTAGCAAAAATTCTCCCACTGCTGAGCATTGATTAATATCTCGACTTCTCCTCTCAGATTTTTAAATCCTCAATCTGGAATCACTTTTTTAGTTGTAAGTAGACTACTGAAGCAAATGTTGGGCTTGTAGTTGACAAACCTTTGATCATCAAAATCTACCTTTCTATTTCCTTTGTTCATTCTAGGTGCCATGTTAAATCTAAGAAAATTTGATAAAATCAAAATAAATTCCCATAAATTTTGAAAAAGCACAATATGGAATGTCTTAAACTAAAATCTACTAAGTAAGAGTTCTTCACCAAAGGATTTTCTCAGAATCTTCCAAAAAACTCTAAAAATTTCATATCGCAGCAATGTAAGATAAATCCTTGGTGAAAATAAAAAAAATTTAGTTCAAAGTGTAGCTCTTGCCTAGAGAGAATAAAATACAAACTTCATTTGCCTTAAAATCGCCTCAAATCCGAGCAATAGCAAGCCCTAGGTGCAAAAATAGAGGTTGAAGGTGACTCAAAGGTTAAAAATGGTGTTTTACTATGCAAATCACGAATTTTAAGGGTGTTTGGTTGGTTTTGGTCGTAGGCGCTGTCGGCGCCCATGCTGGCGCCATCGGTACCAGTGGCACAAAATCATTTTTCTATTTTTCAACTTTCAATTTTCTTTCAATTTACTCCAAAGTCTATTTAGTTTTTTTGAATACTAATTTTCATCTAAAAATAATTCACAAACAAACATATTCAAAAACAACACTAAACTAACTTTTATATATGAGAATACACTTTTTACAGATACATTTCTTGAATGACACTTCTACATCCTTAAAGCAAACTAAATTATAATTCAGAGTTGAAAAAAGCCACAACACTAGAACGCCTAGTAGAAAGTCCAACTTCTTCAATTATGCTGCCTCATCCTCAATACTTTCTCTTCGTCTAATATTTCCCATAGTCTAGTAATGGACATAAGAATTGTAGAAGGGTTGGTGCGGGAATTGATAAGTCAAATTTTCATGGATCCATCCATTTTTCTTAAACATCTAGACCAATCCTACTTCACTTGTCCAAGTATGATCAAAGTTCTCCTTCATCCTCCAACCTAGGTGATCAAAAAGGTAGTTAAGATTTCCTATTGCATTCATAATACTCTGAAGTTCTCTTTCTATTTTTCTTCTCAAAAGCTATTGAACTTCCAACTATTTGTAGCATCAATGGTGTTGAAGCATGTGATGAATGATCCATGATAATATCTAATGCTTCTTTTCCATTCCTAATATAATTTCCATCAATAGGAATCATGGGCTCCCACGGTAATAAAACTTTTTCCAAAATTTTATATTAAACTTGAGATTGGCTGCAAAGTAGAAAAATTGTAGATGGGTTGCCCAAGTCCATATATTAGCCCATTCATAATAATACCAATAACAATTTTAAAATAATGGAACCATCAAAGGGTTTTTCCATTTGAATGCAATAGTTTAAAATAACACTTTCTTTTGTAACTTTGCTAATCTTCATGGTAGGGAGTACTTTTGTAGATATGAAGAAATGCCTTTGTTTTTAAATTGGATTAAGCATGGAACTAGAGAATCTAAGGTATCCTTCATCTTTGATTTCCCAATTATCATGTTCAACTGTCATAAATTATGTACGTCCTGCATCATATCTTTCTGTTGACCTCACTTTTGGTTGAGGTTTAATTTTCCCTCTTTAGTAGCCTAGGGTTTAGCCATAAGACTTTTCTGTTGACTATTCCTAGAAAATCAGAAAGGAACCCTCACCATTAGGAATTTTAAACTCATTTTTGTTCAACTTGAAGTTCCATATATTGGTCCTAACCTCTAACACTTGGTAGGTGGAGTCAGTATGGGGGATCTCAAGCAGGGTCCCGGTAGGACTGCTTGACCTTAGGGTCAACTCTAGGTGTTGGTTTGGAGCTAGTCTGCTCACCTGCACTCAATATCACCCACAATCATGCTCAACCCTAAACCAAAAATTGTTGACTTCGGTTCCTTGATCTTTTGGGAGGCTCAGGTAGATGATCCCTTAGACCCATTGACCCTAGGCTATGGTTTAGCTAAGATCAATACATAAATGACCCAAATGGGGATCTCATTGGATCATAGCTCATGCATTGTGGTTGGCACCCCAATTCTACCAAAAATGTCTAACTTGGCTTTTTGCCCCTAAATCCACCCAAATTACCCAAGTGCCCTCGAAACACTAAATTTGGTCAAAATCCTCAAATTCACCGAAAACACCCAAACTTACTCAAAAACCATCTCAAACCATTTGAAAAGACACAAATTGCCCAAATC